GTTTACCACAGAACAAATTTTAGAGTAGATTAAATTTTCCGTGAAGATTCCCTCTTTCAGAAGCCCTCACAATCATGAAGATTCAGTGGAGTTGGGCTCTGCCTCAGGGGGAGAAGGCACACCAATATGCCACCAGACTTGCTGACTCCATGGGAAGGCTCATCTCCAATTCTGGCATTAACGGCCACGTGCCAGCAGTTACATTACTAGAAAAGCCAGTGATTCCTCAAACCTTCCAACGTTTATTCCAGGTTTATTAACAGACCTAGAAGAAAGGCTGAGTGAAGAATAAGCTAGCAACCATACTATATAAAAAAAAAAACCAACCTGGATAGGACTTCTGTCCAATGATTGAACTACTGAATTCCTAAACTGCATCTTGTATTACTGATTCTCTCAACGCAAATATTACTTCACTTCACAGACCAAACACTGCAATTTAGTGTAAACAGAAAACTATTACTTTTAAATATGTTGCTAAAAAGTGTATGATAAATCAGAACCTTCTCTACTTAAAGCCAAGCAAAAGATCATTTAGAAACTTTAGCTAGTGCAGAAAACTGTTTGTTTCTGGAAGCAGACACACTGCTGAAATGACCTGTCACTGTCTAGATAAAAATGAAAGCAGCAGTAACTAAGCCCTACATCTTGGAGCTGTCCTCTTGAGCCGTGCACACCCTGAGAAATACCACCACAGCTCCAACATCACGACCACCTCACATCACCAACAGCATGCTATGCTGGGACTAGAACTGTGTGATGAAAATCCCTACCAATGAAATTCCAAGCGGAAGAGACTGCCAAGGAAAACATCTTGCCCCATGCTGGCTTGCAAGAAAACAGCACCACTGAGAAGCCACTTCCATCTGGGTCAACTGTTCCACGTCCAAAGCTGCTACTCTCCTCAGCTCCAAGGCACGGCGAGCGTGGCAGGGGTGCCCCCCCATCTGTCATATCATTTGTCATGTCTGTGTAGTGGTGCATGGCCACTGTACCAGAATCTCGTTTCCTCTGACCATCATATTCCTTCCCCATGTTAAAACTAGCTCTTCTACAGAAACAAAAAATAAATGCAAGGCAGGGTGTGGGAGTAAGACATACACCCGAACCTGGCTGGCTTCGGTGTGCTTTGGAAGACACCCTTGCTTAGTGCACATTTTCCATCGGTAGAATTAAGACTTTCTAATACTGTAACGTTCAAGTTTTATTGCCCCTTTGCAGGAAAAAGTCTTTGCTCTATCACTTAGAGGCTTTGCCTCAGAAAGTTGTTCAGTCTAAATACAGCAGACACCCCAGGACCACTATGCACTGTGACAAGCACCTGGCTCAAGTTCAAGGGAAATTTGTGCAAAATACTTTCTTCTTATGTGTTCAGTTTACCCAAAGCAGAATCTTTGAGAACAAAAGGGAGTAATATAATCTATCTTTATCATTTTATACTTTTCCTAGTATGTGCACTGCTAGGCTTCTACACACTGGAAAAACTTTCTGATCTAGCAATTCCAGAAGGGACAAGGACAGATCCTGATGTTGGCACAGGCTTCTACTATTAGAAAGCATGATGACCAATATAAAATATACAAGTAATTTGCTTCCTCGAAAGTCTTCCGATAGATTTACCTCCTGCAGCTATCTAGAAAACAGAAACATTCAAGCTGCTGAAACAGACCTTAGCACTGTTTTAAAACACAAGGATAATACTAGGAATTTTAAATTATGATCAAAAATACTTATGAAAATAAACTGAAGAGCATCGTTTCAGTAGAAAAATGTAGAGCAAGTAGTTCTTCACATTCTGAAATACTTTCATTAGTACACTGTGATCCCATTTTGCCATTTTCCTTCCCTCCCTCCCTCTTGCAGACAAAAAAAAAAAAAAAAAAAAAAGTAACTCACTCCAGCTTTAAACTTGCAAGACTGTATATTCATAGGATGTTAAAAAGAGGTATGTTGGTACATGTAACGGACATTTGTGTCTAAGGAGCAGGGAAGAAAGAGGCGTTTAACTTTAGTTGCTATGAATATGCTCTATGAGTAGGAGAGATGCATTCTTTTTTCATCATAAAATACAGGTGCTCTGATTTTCAGAGGAAAACTTGAACCTAATGTATTTTTCCCTTAAGTGGTCTACATTAGGATTTTACAAACAGGAAGCAAAATAAAATAATTTTGTTCAACAGACAACATTACAAATTATTTTATTTAAAGTCCAAAATGCAAAGGATTTTATGAAGTTAATCCTTTTGTGCACTTTTGCTTAATGTCTTAACATGCAGTCTAACAATTGGTAGGCAACACTAAGTGCTTAACAGTAGCTAAAACTGCAAGGAAACAAGTGTTTGACATGACTTAAGACATTTTATTCTTTTTATTTTTACTTGGAAAAAAAAAATATGATTTAGCCTTTTAATGAATATGTAAAAAACAGAAAACAAATAAAATGACGTCATAGTTAACAACTAAATATCAACTTTCAAACTAAAGGAAATCAAATCTGTGAAAAAAATTTTATTGGCAAAGTTTAGTATACATAGACAGTTTGTTGATCTAATTCTAATCGTTGCATTGTCTCCTACAAGTAGCTCTTGCTGTTCTGCTTAATTCACATAAAGAGTTTCTGTAGATCTCTGGGAAAACAGCTTCTGTGCAAAGAGATGCACCCATCTCTTCCTTTCAAAATAAACGTACTGAGAGAATCTTTACTTTCTAAGGATCGTCACAGTAATTTCAATTCAAGACATTCTTCAATTAAAGATATGAAGACATTCAAGTTCTGACAAAATAAAGGCACGTAATCTTTCTGCACAAACAGTGATTTACAAATTTAGGGAAAAGCTCAAGATAAAGACCAGAGACAACCTCCAGTCCTTGCAAATGTCACCATATTACTGCAATTAATGGGGGTCTGAATCCCAGAGGACTACTTGCAAAATCAAGGTAAACCTTTAAGTAGCACTTCTCTTGCATTGAGCTATAAGCTCATCTATCTTCACCTAATCAGTCCAAAACAGTATAGAACATGTATATTGTACCGTGTTAAAAACAGCACAGGCAGGAAACAAGCCTTTTCCAAACATCTTTAGCAGAACACGTGTTGATGGAAGCCTTTCAACTGTGAACACTGATAATTAGCATTCACTGTATTATAACCATACTCTCAACGCTATTATTCTTCAATTACTCTGCATGTTATCAATCAGTCCTTTAAAAGAACCTTAAAATTCAAAACCAGTCCTGTAACCACACAACTTAAACATGGCTGAATAATTCAGACATTAAAGCCAGTTACTGTTATTGTAAAACAGATTATAAATTACAAAACCAAGTTACAAAATATTTTCATCCTCTGAAGGAGATGGAATGTTTCCCAAATCCAAACTCAGTCTTTTTACTCTCTTCAATAAATTCACTCGTCTTTCTTTGTAGCATCTTTTCATGTATTACTGAAAACTGAACTACTGCCAAGATGTCATTTAATGTACGGAATAAGGCTCATACAGTTTCAAAATCAAATTCTTGTTATTCTGGTCGATTTTAAACATATATTAATACTTTCTAACAGAGAAAACCCATTGTTTCAAGAGATACTACTATGAAATTAAGACAAAAACATTTGTTTGTTAAGATCTTGCTTGAGTACTCAAAATCCTATAAATTTTGTGTTTGTTTCCTGAAAGCCTAACTTCAACAGGGTACTACACCTAAGGTAACCTCACACAGATGGTAAAAAAGTATCAAAAAACGTTCAAAGCAATCACTTGAAAACAACTTGAAAGCTGCACTGAAGCCATCATTCAGTTGCTGATGCCCCTCCAAACTTGTTTATACTTAAAAAGCGTTCTCTTGAGAGATCTAAAAATAAGCTGATAAATAAACTGCATGTCCCATAGCAATATAAAATTACTATATTTGGTTAAGTACACAACTTCCCACTGTACAAGGGCTTAAAAAAAAAAAAAAAAAGTAAAAAAAAAAAAAAAAAGCAACACTTGTATTGCAAATAAGCAAAAAGGGAAGACCGAGTGTGTTGTCAAACAGATCGCTAATATGAAGACACTAGAAAATACCAACCCCACTATGGATGTGAAAAACCCTCACTACGACTAAATGATCACACACACAAAACAGCAGCTCAGGAGCTTATTTTCCTCTCCCCCCCCCCCTCCACTAGCAGGCATGTGAAAAGCAGCAGCCCCTTTCCATTACCGCTACCTGCAAGCAGGGCAGAGGGAAGGAGGAGGCAGTACCCCCGTCACCAGTCATTTACACTCTCCCACGACACGGAGGGAGGACGGGGGGTGGGAGTGCGCTCGGCGACACCCCTTCCCCAAATCGTGTCTGCAGTGGAGCGTGTGCGCGACCCCGGCGAGGGGAGGCTCAGCCCCCCCGCTCCCTCCTTCGAAACGAGACAACACAAGCCTCGGGGAAGTGGGGGAGAGACGGGGCACGGCCTGCGGGGACGCTGCCGGGGGAGGGACAGACCAGACCCCCCGCCGCAAACGCCGCAGGCCCCGCAGGGCTTGAACCGGCGGCTCCCGCAGCGTTTAACAAGGGAAGGGGCCGCGGCCAAGGGGGTGACACCCCCCCCCCACCCCTCCCCGGGCCCGAATGCGCGGAGAAGGCAGGCGGGCAGCGAGGCGATGAAGAGCAGCACACGCACCCCACACACCCCCCACCACCGCCGCCGCCAAAGGAGGGCCCAGCTCCAGCGTCCGCGGCGGGAGGAGGCGAGTCCCCAGTCGCCCCCCGCCTCCCCGCGCCCGCCCCGGCCGGGTGAGGAGGAGGAGGAAAAGGAGGAGGAGGAGGAGGAGGCGGGGGCCCTCGGGCTCCCCCCCCCCCCCGCGCCTCGGCCCCTCCCCGGAGCCACCGCCTCGCGGCCCGGGTGCTCGGGCAGCGCTGTGAGGAGCGGGACGACCGTGAGGGCCAGGGCGATACGGCCGGCGTCAGGCCCCCCCCGGGAGCTCAGCCCCAGCCGTCCGGCCGCGGGGCGCCGCGGTTACCGTGTGCGGTGCCGAATTCTCGTGGTGTTTGTCGAGCGGCTGCGATAATGGCGTCCTTCCTCGCGAGAGAGCTCCCTCTCCTCAGAGCGCAGGCGCCGCGGCGCTGCGACCGCTCGGCCCCCGCCCGCCCCGAGCGTCCGCGCAGGCGTACGGGGGACGCGGCCCCGCGGCCGCCCTTCACCGACGCGCCGCCGGGGGAGACTACAATTCCCAGAGGGCAACGCGCCGGCTCGGTGCCGCCCCCGCCGAGCAGGCCGGGACCTGTAGTACACGCGCCTGGCGCAGTGCGTGCCGGGAATTGTAGTCCGCCCCTCACACCCCATATCTGCACACGCATCCCCTCCTTCTCTGTGCTATTTACCCTGAGGCGCGCACCCCAGCCCTGCCACCGCCCTGAGGGTCCCACAAAACCCTCTGGACGGTGACAGACCTGCCAGCATTTCGGGCAGGGCAGCCATATGGTTTGTGCGGTGGTGTCCCGCAGCCTGCAACCAGGTCTTGCTGGGCACGGCTCTGCGATTCCTTCCCCGACAGCATCTCGGAGCTACTGCGAGCTCCAATATCGCATCTCTTTTTTTTTTATTAAGTGTTGCCAGACCTGCCAGGGGACGTAGCCACAGGATTTGGCCAGCGGAGCTGTCAACAAGCAGATTAAATGTGTATCTGCACCTCGAGAGCCGCCTGCGCTGAGCCATTCGCACACTGACACGTTCCCTTTACCCACTCCTTTCTCTGGTCCTTCCATTAAATTCCTCCCTGCTCAAATGGCTCCTGAGTGCTTGCATCACTGAAATGGGATGATTGGTATGTGAGCTGTCATATTAAGGAGAAAAATGTCACCGTGCTCAGAACACAGCTGAAGAACAGGCAGCAAGTGGGAATTTGCTAAATTAGCTCATCGGACTGATTCTTCTGTTGCTTCGTTGCTGCATTTGGTGTGAGAACAGGATGACTGGGCGAAGGTGGAAAACCTTCTGTTAACCTTCTGGGAATGATAAAAATACGCAAAAGCACAAAAAGGGAGCATGGAGGAAGTATACACGTAGCTCTGACAGAAGATTAGATTGTTTTACTATAGCTTTATATATCACAGTGTTGCCCAAACAAGACCATCATCATATTTCACTTTTCAGCCTCAGCATAGCCAGCAGTGACTTTCAGACTTCTGCATAAAAATAGTCCATAAATTAGATGCTTAATTCAGTTCTGCAGTGTCATGACATGCAATTGAATCCACCCTGGTTCCACTGTAATTGGCCACGGTGACAACTACAGACCTATGGCTAAATGGAGCTGTTGTCATGGCTGCGGGGCTAGTGGCTTGAAAAGCTGTTTTCAGGCACAATAGCTTTGTCATGTTCAAACTCAAGGTGTCCACTGCAGGACTTTTGTACCTGTATGAAATGTAACGGTGCATGTCACAAAAGCTCCAGTTTCATAGGTGTTTCTGACCTCAGGGAACCAGCAATTCCTCTTCATCACCTGTCTGGAAGTTACAGAGTCAGAGAACAGGATTTGAGGAGTTTCACCTTTCAGGTAGGGAAGCTTATGCTGACAGAAGCACATGCACTGTGCCTTTCTTCAAAAGGCTCATAGTAACTTCTCAAGCTGGTGTTTTCAGTATTAAGGGTTGTCATGAGCCTGGGAATTAACAACCAGTATGTTAGAAAAACCCTTGCTTCTGCCTCCAGATTTGTAACTGTTCAGTTGAGTCTGTTGATTTATTTATTGTGTTCTCTTCCTTCACAAGTAGATTAGGAAGTTCAAAGGTTAAACTACTTATAAACTGACTTTTCACACAGGATTATTTCACACTTCGCTGCACAGATTTGCCCTGCAACAGATTTGCCAAACAGTTTTTGCTGTACTCAAGCAATTGCCAGGTCCCAGCTAGAAAAGCAGTGATATAAATATCAATGTACTACCTGCTGTGGAAAGTTGCTAGTTAAAGCCTTTGCCATCATAAAGCAAATCCAATGTAAAAACTGTTCTGTTTTCTCATCAGTGCATTCTCTCCCAGAGATTATTAACTCGCGTTCTGCTGAGGATGTGAGATCCCCCTCCTGTCTATATAGCCAGTAAATCATTTCACAGCTAAAACAAGACAAAACAGAAAAACTTTGATTGTCATAAACCAATTTTACTATTCACCTACAGTTGTCAAATTAACTGCAGGAAATACTGACAGAATCCAACTCATGTCTCCGTCTTTGATCAGCGATAGCAACATAGTAAAAAAATAATACAGCCATTTATCACTAAGAAAGGCTGCAGCACGACCTTCTGCTAGCGAGTCAGTCCACTCTGAGCATTACAGCAATCTGGAATATACAGTTAACTTACCTCTTGTAAGGGTTTTTTCCCCTCTTTACCAGAGATACGATTTAAGTTGTTTTTTTTTTTTTCCCCTATCGTTTCTTCTAAAGCAGGAGGTGCTTCTTGCTAAAATTTTGAATTACACCAATAAACCATGAAAAGACTCTGTTATCACAGGCTATCCCTTGTTCCCCTTGAGACTGACACAGCCAGATATGACATACTCTTCATGCAGCATAAAGTATGGCAGAAAACACTGGTAAACAGCAGAAGAAAGAGGATCTTTCTGTTCACAATCTAAAAGTGGAGGTCTCCTTTGTGCTTAAATCAGAAGGCCCAAATTTGGCTTTTAGTCTTTAACTTACGTTACCAACACATGAATAACTAACCCAAGGATAATTGTTTCCTGTGCTTCACAATCTCCTAAATTTTATGAGCTTTCAGGAATGTGCTCATCTGAATATTTCTGCAATAATGTAATGAAATGCAGTGTAAGTCCCCCTCTGGTGAATGAAGGCTTCACTTTACCATGGGATGAGAGACGGCCCATGAGCAAGAACCAGGAAGAAGTTGATATACGCTGAGAGTTATATTCTGATTTAAACCACCATAACCTGCTCAAGTGCTTACATCAAATCGATTCTAATTTTCATTCCGCTTATAAAAATGAGTAAGAACTTCCAGGTGCTAATATACCAATTTCATTTTTAAATTTTATAGAAAAAAATACAACCTGTTGCCCTGTTTGTCTGTTGTCCCAAATAAAATAATAAGATACTTCTTCGTTGGTTTATTTCCTCACCTTATTCATCCTCTTTTTTTTTTTTTTTAGTCTCTCTCTCTCCCTTGCATTTTATGTATGTGCTAACTTTTCTCTGTCGTGTTATGAAGAATCATTTGGTTCCAGGAAGTATCTAGCTTATTTTACCGTTGTATCAGCATTCATTTACTATTGTTTCCTAAGGAAGTTGCTGCTTTCACATGTTTTGTGTGGATCAAGAGAGATTGGGATCTCATTCATTGGTTTCCTTTTTTTTGTTAGGAAAAAAAAATTACCATAGCATCAAAGGTAAAAAATTAACACACTGTGCACACAATTTTGCAGCTGCATCAGCAGCAGGAAAACAAAGGTTGTCAAACAAAGCATTTGTTTAAACAAGTGACAGGCTTTCATAATTATACTCACTGCTGAGCATGAGAATATAGAAACAAAGGCATGAAGAACACAGAAGATGTGACCAGGGCACAGAAGTAACTCCAGAGTATTTGCCATAAGAACTCTGTGGGAATAATTTTCTTTACTATGGATAAAATCCTTGATCACATCCTATGCTATTAAAACCAAAAAAGAGTACTTGAAGTTCCCCTGATAATTCACTTTCTATATACTAACTCTCATAACTGGAGAGGGACACAAACACATACTTGCGAACACAGCATGCATTATCTTATGACACATTGATGCTTAATTAAAAGTTACATAAAATACATTTTTTAAACAAAGGTAATATTAACACTGTTTGTAAACTTGCTGTAGCATTTCCCCTTTTATCAATAGTAAACTTCTCTGCTGTTGAAATTTGTTGTCAATCTTCCCCCTCCAAGGACATTCTTCCTCATAACTTACTTTACAGACACCACATCCATTTTCAATTCTCTCAGAATTTTTCTTTGATTTTTTTACATAAAACAGGTCAGGATCCAGTGGGGTTTGCTCCTGAACCTACTTCAGCTAGCTCTATGACTTAGGGCAAGACACAGACATTTTCTGGTCTAACTCTGATCTCACTTCTGGTTTATGCTGAGTAAACTCCATTTCATTCAGCGACAATACTCCTAATTTTCATGAATAAGGATGGAAGAAAAGGCCTTGAATTCCCACAGCAGAGAGAAAAACATCATTACACATTTGGTCATCTAGCTGGTCAAAGTTCATGGTCTTCTAAGGTCACTTCTGCCCATCTGAGAAATAAGGTGAGAAGGGTCATGATATCAGTGTTCTCATATTTATTTATGTACTGTTCCATTTCCCTGTATACATCATGGAAAAAAAAAAAAAAAAAAAAAAAAAAGAGGATAGGAGGCTATTCCCCTTCTCAGAAATCTGCCATTCTGACAAGCTCTGTATTTGCACTTTGCCTGACTGTGATCTTCCCAGGATCACGCTCACAGCTGTTTCTGCTGCCCTTTTACCTCTGTTACACAGCTGATACCTTTGCCCAGTATTTGCTAGTTTGCCCAGCTTTGTGCAGGTTCGCCACAGACCATGTTTACTTGGTCAGGTACCATTATCATCATCAGGCTTTTTTAATCCACTGGGATTATCAAAAGCCTGATGGGGAGCTCATTACACTCACTGATTTTAGAGGATTTTATCCTTTTCTTTGGACTGAGGGTTGCCTGAGAACTGCTTTTTCACTCAATGTGTAGTCCCCACCTTCATATATTTTTTTCAGAAATCCACATACAAAATGTTACACAGCACCAATGTATCATTAATGCTATTAATCTAAGCAGAATTTGACCATTTCCTAGTTCTGGACCTGCATCCATTCACACACATGTTCAAACTTATTTGCAATGTAACCCCATTTTTTCAGTTGTGAAAGGTAAAAAGTATAAATTTTCATCAGTGGCCAGCGTGACAGACTGTCCCCTCAGCAAGTTTCCATACATCACCACGTTTGTCATGTGCAGGACGGCAGGGCCACCCTTCGGAGTGGTCCTGAAAAGCCACATCAGCTGGAACCTCATGAAATGCAACAAAGGCAAATGCCAAATTCTGCACTTGGGACAGTATAACCCCATGTTCTGGTACAACCCGGGGACTGACTGCTAGGGTGAAAAGCTCTGGAGAAACACACTGCAGACCCTGGAGGACAAGTCAAACATGCATCAGCAGTGCATCCTTGCAGGGATGAAGGTTAATGGTGTAGTGGGCTGTATTAGAAAGAGCACGGCCAGCATATCGAGTGACCATTCCCCACTACTCAGCACTTGTGAGGACACATCTGGAATACTCTGCCCTGTCTGGGGACCCCTAGTGCAAAAGAGAGAATGAGAAACTGGAGGGAGGAGAGGCGGTTAGCAGGCCAGTGAGCTCCGTCGCATTACTAAGTGTCCTAGCAAAATTTGGATATCAAAGAAAACTTCTCTTAGGCTGAAGTAATATCTAACATGGGAAGTATGAGCCAATCCTCAGAGAAATGAGTGTTACAGCCCAGCCAGTAATGACCTGACTGCTTTGTGAAAGCTGCCCTAGGCGATATTTTCAGCTACTTGATAGAGGTTTCCCATGGACTCTGCAGCAGCAGTGCCATCCCAGGCAGCTTCCCAGGACCTGACTGATCACCCTGTCAGCTCTTATATTACAATAACTAGGTGAGGAAAATGATAATTATGAAATCGCTTTCATTGTATCTTTTTTATTACAGTAAAACTGTAAGACTATTTTTTTCTGAATTATTGGGTTTGACTTGCCAATGTTGCAACTGAGACAATATTAGGACAGGAACACCCTTACATGCATGATGCCAGGAGAATCAGATTTCTTGAAACACTAAACCAAGGAGGTAATTTTCCCTCTGCAAGTAACAGCATTCATTTGAAGTTAACCAGAATGTAAGTACTGGCAACTCTCTAGTAAGCATCAGAAAGAAAACAAATATTGATCTTCTCTGTCTAGCCCAGAGGCATTTACAGTAAAAGTCAAATGGGTAGTGACAGCAAAAAATTTCTAGATTTTTACTTCCCTAGTTTCTGTGAAGACAAAGTAAGCACATTTCTTTCTACTGTACACACACTCCACATCTGTAATTATCCACAATTATGAGCAACAATAGAAGTTTAATATTGCAGTTCTTCAGGCAGAACCCCTAGCTGACAATGGCTTGTTGTTAGATACTCTGAAGCATACATCTGAGGTAATAAATGACAAGCATTAATAAAGACTCTTCTAAAGAGTAGGTTTGGGAATAGCAAATAGCCAAGATAAGCTTCTCGCTTTAGGATACTAAAAAGGATTCCCTGAGCCTGAACCCTGCACTTACACCTGTGTGATAAGAGATGACAGATGTGCATATGTTTAATGAAAATAACACCAAGCAAATAAGTTTCTAATTTGAAACACCACAACTTGTTAAGTAAAAAACAAAACAAAACAAAACAAACACCTATTGAAAAATATTTTACAGGTAATTGTATGGATTAAGAAAGGAGTGGGTTCTAATAGTAAATTTTTAATGGCAGAATGTTAACAGTCATAATTTCTGTTCGATCTCTCATTGATTTTGTAGCTTTCAAAACATCCCCTCCTATGTAATTAATGGAGGAAACCAACCACATGGATTTTGTAAATACTTACATGAGAATTATTAAAGGCCCCACAATACTTTTGTGCTGTCATGACCCTGAGGTCACTAACAAGTTTTAATGGCCCTGACAAGCCTCACCTGCAGCCCTGCCCATGGGCCAGGAGCCCATTTAAGCTCAGGCCAGGGCCCCTAAACTCCTGATAGGGCTCTTACCTTCAGGTTTGTCTTTGGTTCTGTCTCTAGGAAGAACTTTGAACCCTTGTTGTTGCTTGTCTTTGGCCCTGTCTCTTTTTGCTCCTGTCTGGGCTCTCTGGTTGGACCTTGGACCTGGTTTGTCCCTCGCGGTGTTGGGGACTGGCAGTGGTCCCTTTTACCAGTGGCCAGCTCTGCCTGCTGTGGGGTGGCTCCCCTGCCCGTGAGCCAGTGCTGGGGCTCCCCACTCCTCTGTCCTTGCAGAGTAGCTGGCCCTGCTGCTCTCTGATGTGCCCTGGCACCCTTTCTTAATGGCTCTCCATTTTCATCCCCATTTGCCCTACTATAATCTGTAACAGCATGTGAAGTGTTTCTGTGTTTGGCATGGGAAACTGCAGCTCTAATTCAGAAGCTACTTGTGTCTGAGCCATTTATATGGATTGCAGCTCTGGGAGGAAGAGCAAACATCCCAAAGAAAATGAAAGGATGGGCTTTCTATCTAGATATTTCACATAAGATAACAAAGTTATTGGAATTGCATGTGGAAATAAGAGAGTAATATTCTTTATGCTTTCATCCCTAAAAAACACCAGTCAGGAAAACATCCCAATCTGTTCTCCCCACTGGGGAAAAAATCCCAAACACTTCAGCTGGGTCAAAGTGGTGTGTGAGTGGGAGGAGTAATGACAGTTCCTTTTGTCTTTTTCTAGTCTCTACAAAATCATCCCTCTTGGGGGACATCTGATAGTTCAGAAGAACAAACTCCTTGTCTTGAAGCTACAATGGTAATGTAATATGTGCTCAGAGCTAAAATACTCTTTTTGTGGAAGGCTGCTCCTCAGCAAGTCTTGTATATCTACTAGATTCCTTTGAATTCCTTATTTTAAGCAGTCACCAGTCCTTATAATTGCAGCTGTTAGTGATAGCAGTTCTTGGCTATCAGTATTCAAATACACAACTATGTAAATTCAAAGCAGGTATGCATGAAGAAATGATAAGAAACCTCTCCTTGCATACAGAAGAGTGGTTTCTGTAACCCTTTGGTGTTCCCGGAGTCAGATGAGAAAGAACCTGGGAAGCACATGTAGCATAATCATCAACTAGCCAGCCCTCCACCAAAGTGTGGAGCCAATGAAGAAGCCAGACTAGGGACAAGTTGAAAATTAACTACTTGGTTAGCTCCACCTCTCCAACCAGGAAAGGGTGCTCTCAAAATTTTTTATAAATAGGTCTGGAGACCCCTCAGTTATCTTGAAACTGCACATCCACAGGATTTTTTTTCCTCTACTTTGTGTTGACAGGTCGCTAGACTCTGGAAAGCTCCTCTGGCTGTTTGACGAGCTGAAGATTTCAAGAGCCAAGGTGATAGCAATGAATATTGTGAAGGCAAATAGCCTGGTGCATTTGTACAAACAGCTGAAAACTATTTGGCGTCCACCAGCAGTGCCAGCAAGACTCTGCAGCTTGGCCTCCTGCACTCATAAAAACAGGAATGATGCATGTAAGTGTATCCCATTTTATCAAAATAGGACTAGATACGTGCATAACAGAGATGCAGAGGTACAAAGACAACAAATGTAGTTAACTGTTGCTCTTATTTGTTAGGTAATCAAAAAGGGAAATTGGAGAATGTGACTGAAAGATTAAAGAAAAAAGAGTGACTAGAATGAGAGAAACTAGAGATGGAAACACCTTATGAATTGCATGATTTATCTTCGTGTGCAGGATTAAAACATTGTTCTTCATTATTTCTGCTGTGTCAATGTTATTGGGTTGTGTGATTTTTCACTTGTAACTACAATGAAGAAACAGACGCTATAACAATTAATTTTTAATTTTGTCCTGCAAGGTTTTGACTGATTTCAATGAAACCTGTGTAAGTGTAATTCAAAGCACATTTTGTGCAAATTGATTCTGAGTGACTTTGAATTTAACAGATGCTACAATGTTTAATTTTGAATATGAGGCCTAAGGCAAATACAAATCACAAAGCCATCCAAATGTGGTGTACAGAGCTACAGTGAATCACTTCCTGAGATGTAGGGTAGTACTGGAAGATGTCAAAGATTTAGTTATTTAAAATACTGATTAACTTACAGATAAGATGAGGCCAGCCAGAGTTTGTGTATCTACTCGCTTGTGTGCACATAATGTCAGCTGGAGCAACAGTAAAGAGTAATTTTTTTACATCTAGGAAATCCTTTTGTTTCCTATTTTTTTCTCTGTAAATGTATTCAGCTTACTAACTCTTCCCAGAGAACAACCAGATCCTTCCTTGAATACTGAGATGTGATTCTCTTCTATTTAAACTATCAAATGACAAATTTTATGTTTACTTAACTGATGAGAAAACAGATGATTTTGTAAAATAAATAAACCAAAGCAGAATGGAGACAAGCATGAGGCTTTGTTTATATTGAAAGCCAGAAGAAATATTCAGTAACTTTCAGTGTTTAATAGCTCTGCACTTGTAAACGCATTTTTGAAGATGATGCCAAAATACTTTCTGCCACTGAGTGACCAGCATTTCAAAAAACCTGGTAGATCAGCTGCCAAGTTCAATGTGCACTGTGTTGTATATATTCCTAGACATGGAAGCTTTATGTAATATATAGCATGCAAGCTTCCCTGTGACTCAGCACATCAGGAATAACTAGAGTAGTTCTTATAAGGATAGAGTGTTTGTGATGTTTTTCAGAGTCTTTGGTCTAAATTTTCTGGGTTCTCTGCTACTCAGAATAGAAAATGTGAATTTATTCTGAAAGCTTAAAACAGAATAGGTACTTCAAGTCAGTAACATAACTTGTTAATACAGCACTTCACCTTCATTTTTAAAAGGTGCCTTTTAAATCTAAAGATGCCTAATTCTAGAAGCAGGATTAGCACTGAATTGTTTTATTAGTGAAACAACCACAAGAAAGAACCTAATTCCTAATGCAAAATTTGAATGATCATACACGCATCCATGACATTTTCCCTCCTCTGACCTGCGTAGAGCTTTTAGTAAAGCCCAAAAGTCTCTTAAACTTCCTGACTTTCTAACAAATTTTTATTAATTAGGTGCATGTAATAGTAGCTTTTTTAATCAATTCATTTTAATTAGGTGTGCTAATTAGTCTGTACAACTCTATGTACACCCACTCCACACAAGGATGTGTGCATATGAGAGAACATATTCTAATAATCACAAGCAATGTCTATATTACTTCTGGATCTGCAATTTATCAGCAAGCTTTTGCAGTGTTGGAGAGTCAAGAGGTAAACCCAAGATCTGTGCCAGTAAGAGTGATGCTTGGGCTCATACAATACTGCTCATCATGTGCAGTGATATGAATTACTGCTTCAGAGGGGAAATGCAGAGAATCCATTGAATTGTGGTTAAAAAGTTCTGTCGTTATTTTATATTTTTATTATTATTTTTATGTTTGAAGACATAAACTAAGATTGCAAGTGAATATTCATTGCGAGTCCAATGACTTCCAACTTCAGAAGCCACACAGACAATATAAATCAATATCCTTCGTTTAAAAAGTAGTGAAACCCATGAATCATCAGCACAGAATCCCTCTACACAGTTCCTAATTCTTCTGCTTGTTCAATATTAATATACTACGAAACTTTATGGCCTATAGAATTAAAAACTTCAGGAATGGAATATAGTACAATTGAGTGTTACACTTCTGTTGCATCTGTTTAGGAAAATTGTTTTGAATTGTTCAGTGGAATAAGAAGGTGAACTGGAGAAAAGATTGAGATCTCTAGATTTCCACATGTGATGGAGAAAGTAATTATTTTATGGTTACCTGTGGTCCATCAGTTCCCAATAAGGGGCTAAATGATGCTGTATTTTTTGCTGTGGACAGTTGTGCATGTGGAACAGCACTGAGAAACCAAAACTCACTTCATGGTAACAAATATTCCAGGAAGAGCTCATACAAGGCCGTTCCATCATAAGACCATTGCTGATTAAATTAACTACAGTTGCTACCTATCTCATTTTACTCACATTCCTCTTTTCAATTTAAGACAGATACTATTTATTACTTAAATCTTTCTCTACTCCATGACATTCATGCAGGAAATGCCAAAACAACTGATTCAGGAAAACACTATCTTTGGAATAGCTGGTTTCGGCTGCCAGTGAATAGACACCAGCTCCAAATAAGCCAGCCTGTGGGTTCCTCCATCTGGTGACTAGACCCTGTGCACGATGTGCATTCAAAGCAAAAAGCACATTCAATTAAATTCTGCTATTCACAGCTGACAGTACAAACAGCCCTTTCAGTGACAAAAACTTGATCAAAGAAACAGTAGAACTGGACTACTGGGGTCTTAGGTAATGTCTTCAATGTAAAGTTCACCATTTTCCTGAACTTCATCTCTTTCCTTTCTCCCCTCACCCTTCCCACACACAGAAGTAGTCTCTCACTAAGCTGGGTGGTGATGCTTTCACTTGGCAGTTCACCCAGACATTTGCTGTGAGGACATGGGTTAAACAAATCAAAGGCTGATGCTTCCTAGTACCTTTTCTGGATTCCCCTTCTGTCCCCACAGGGACAAAAGCATTTTTCTGCAATTCAGTGGGAAAGAACTGTAGAAACATTGCTGACAATCATGGCATATATGTAAAAATTTCTAGTGATGTGGCCTACCGCAGTGCATGTCTACTAAGCTCTGTGGAATCTTGTAACAATACATGGAGGCAGTGGTTTCAGACACATCTTAATACAATAGAGAGGGAATTGCTAGAAATGTTCTTTACAGGGATATTAAGTCTATGAAGTATACCCTTAGCCTAGTAATTATTGCCAGAGCAGACCTGAGTGCCTTTTTTCTTTCTTACTCTTTCAGAACAAGTTACAAGAAAAGCAGAATCCCAAGTGGTTTTTTTTTAGAGAATTGTGTAAGTACAGCAATAATACACAATCCAGGTGTGCCATCTCCAGGACTACACATACTATTGCAGTAACTACACAAATTGTCCATGAGATATCTTCTAAGCCTTTTCCATGCCGAGTTACTAAGCCTGCATGCATAATTTTAGCAAATGTTTTTATACAGAAAAGATAAAGCCTCTGTTTGCTTTACCTTGCCAACTGGAATTACCTCCTCCTTATCTGGACTTAGCCTCAGCCACTGCCTTCTCATCCAGACTCCTATCTCAGCCAAACATTCTGGAAGTAGGGAAAAGCTCAGCATTTCACAATCTGCTGCTGCTTTCCTGTTGAGCTTACTCTGTCACTTACATCCGTTTGATAAAAAGCACTGGACTGTTTATCAATAAACTGGCCTACATCACAGTCCAAATCTGACATCAATTCAGCAGAACCTTCAACACCTTGTCAGAATGGACCTCAGCCAACCACCACTGTTATCCTTCAAAATCTTGATTCCTACTAAAAAGCTTCAAAGAAATCAACCTATCTTGGATTTCCCCTGTAATATTCAGTCCAAGTGGCTGAAGCAGAGCCACAGTCCTTTAAAGTTTAAAATGGATTTTTATTGAATTTCAGTAATGTGTTTGTTTTTATTTTTCTAATTCAGAATGTGTTGCTATGGAAAGCACCCCTGCTCAGCTGAGGACAAAGACATATTTCCTTCAAGCGGGTGGGGTTTCTCAACTGTTCTCACCATGCTGTCCTCCCTGATTTACTTCAGAGCTGGGTGAAGCTGCTTTGAAAGTCCCTGTGTAAACAAATCAAAGAGCTTTATTCAACAGGTCTTCTTAAAGATTAAAACCATAAAGGCTGAAATCCACTGAAGCTGATTCATTTTACTACTCATTCGACAACCACCCAAATTAATTTTCATACCCTTTCTTCTAATTTTATAACCCATATGTGAGAAGCCTCTCTTCTCCAGGATACTTAAAGAGAATTTAAAAATGAAACATGGAAAAATGCTTGGTCTCTTTAAATCAAGTTTACAACAGTGTAAATTGGCAGTAAATCCTTTCATTTAACTGAATTTATTTTGGATTTTTACCATAACACAATGGCCTTCAATATATTTTCTTGGAAATCATGTTATAAATTATGATAATCCAGTATAATACACAACTTGTATTTTCATCTGGATCTTGACTCCCATCCCAAAGCTTTTGCTAAATGAAGTTTTTAACAACTATTCCAGACAGACCTGTTGAAGCCTCCACAGCTGCAATTAATTATAGAAAATAATTCAAAAGATTGGGACTATTTGGATGGCTCTATACATCTACTTCAGCTGGGAAAGGTAGGAAAAGACCACAGTGCAAATGTAAGAAGCCTCCAAATACTATAAAATTAAATGGAGCATCACTGTGTCTATTTGGAAGGTTTTAAAAAAAATAAAATAAATCAAGCACTCATTAGGTCTGTTTGTGGCAGATCTCTTTTCACGGGTGACTCACATTTTGGTCATGCTTGTTATATTACAATATTTACTATAACTGTTCTGACAATACCATAAATATGTATGTAACAAAGGTAGGCAAAACACTAAGCCCTTCCTCAGTGAGCTGATCATAAATTAGGCATGCATAAAACAAGGGGTACAAATTGTATGCTACCTTCATTCTCACCTGTTTGTTTGTTTTTAACTTTGCACATTTGAAAACAGACCTAGTAGATGCGGTTTCTACTTCTCTTTCTACACAGATTCTGCAATACTTTACCTCACTCAGAAGGCCAATTGCTAGATTCTGGTTGCAGTGTTCCCTATACTCTGAAACCACTCTCAGTTCATGAACACGAGAGGGCATAGCTGAAACCTTCCAGGTGGTCCAGAAATATAACAATTTTGGAAAAACCTGGAGAACAACAGAGGTACTGTAATTTTGGCTGCTGTTGTTCTCTCCAGCTTGCTTCATGAGAACCATATTTCTCTTGCATAAACCCTCATCTCTAGCTGAGACAGGGCCAAGGAGAAACTTTGTTTCTGGAATGGTCCAGAAAAGATTTTGGCCACACCAGCTAAGTGCTGCAAACAAGGCATATGTTTCCTTTTGCACAGGTAGTTTTTGCCTTTCAGTCAGCAGTTTCCAAAACAAACTATCTCACTGCCACTGAGTTCATATTTTAAAGGGTTTTCTTTAACCTCCTAGAGAAGAAAAGGGTTTTTTTAATTAAATGCTACAGTTTTACAGGCATTTATGCTCAGTAAGAAATAGCATATGCACATGAAAACTGGATGTAGATTCTGTGAATGATTCAGAAGGGAAACAAAAGTGTTCTAGGTCAAAGTTATTTCTCTTTAGTTTTGCACCTGAACAGCCCATCATTTCCAAAAGTCTATGCTGTAAGAACTTCCCTTTGGTTGTGGTGTTCAGCCCACGAGAAATGAATGACTCGTTCTGTTCAGTTTAGTAGCAATATAATAAACTTCACATTTTCAAAATGTTGCAGGATCAGATCTCTAAAAAGCTTCACAAAGTTTGGTCACCTTAATGCCACAGTGTAAAGCAGTAGAGTTTGAGGCTTTTTTTTTTTTCCCAACTGCTTTCAACGTATGGAAAAGTGATGGTTGTACAGAAACCAAGTTAGTCTCTGCAACAGTAAGCATCTATACCGTGATATTGGGCATACATACATTAGTTAATTTGGTAGATGTCACTTATAAGATGCCCAAGATTATCAACTGTATTTAGACAACATGCCACAGAAGAATGGAACGTGAAGGAATGACAATCTTGTTTTGTTGATATATGAGAATAAAACCCAATATCTTTTGTTTATGCTCGATAATAAAATCTCAGAAGCTATGAAGCTCAAATGGGCTGTCCTCATGACCAGGAGCTGCCCGTTGCTCATAAGTAGCATCAGCAACTGACATGTCTGATCTGTGCTAAACACAATTGCCTAACCATGATCAATAGGCTATTAAACAGTGATTAAGCCTGAATGAATAACAATGTTTATGGGCAGCAACTGTTTTACTTTTCATCTCTTCTTTTTAAGTTGCAGGAAGATGAATGTTGAGGATAGTAAATTAGCCATCCTGAAAAACATTGGAAGTCAAACCAAGAATTCATTATGTTTGCAAATGAATCCTACTATTAAAAAAAAAAACCAAAAAACTGTGCTTTAAAGAAGTCATATCTTAGCAGGGAGGAAGTGAAATGAAATTTATTCCAAATGACCTGTTTTCTGATCATGTAGCCACTCAAAGCAAATCGCTTGCTAGATTTCAACCTCTTACTCAACTCAGGAGTACTTTAAATATGTTATACTGTAAATGCAATGGAAACTTCTTACATAATGTTGTAAATATTAGAGAAAACACTTCTTGGTTGACTCTAGTTGAGTATACAGTCCCGTCTCCATTTCAGTAAAACATTCTAAATGCTACGTCAGGTTCCTCATGAAAATTCAAAAGTACTCACCCTAATGAACTTAAAAATCCTCAAAAGGTAAATGTAGATTTGCAAAATTATTTTTAAGAGCGTGACCAAGAAATATGATTCAAAGCAGGTGGCAAGATGAAGGCCAGGAGCCAAGGTGTGCTGTTCTGCTCCCGGCTGCCCAACAGACCTGGCAAAAATGAGGACACTTACTTAATCTCTGCACTTTCACCAACACTGTCAGCTTTTTACAGACTTCCCTTTTCTGTTTTGTGTTCCTCACTGGCGGCTGTAACACAGAAAAGGTGCAAGGATTAATCAAAGTTTTACCCTGTTTCATCAGTGCCCGCTTCAAGTGGCACCAGAGGAATGTTAGCTCAGTTGGCTCCTTTTACCATCCCGGGGCTGGCCTATTTTGGCTTTCAGCCTTTGGGACAGATGCACTCGCGTAAAGTAGCCAGAATGTTAACTTTTCCTAACTTTTCTGTGTGCAGTTTGGGGCAGGGACCCTGCTTCACCAAGGCCACCCGTGTCTCTGTGGGAGAGGGATCACCCTCCAGCCCACCTTCAGCTGGGACAAACCGAAACCACCTACCTGAGCAAAACCAACTAGACAAGAATAAATGCTAATCCTCTAAAGTGTGTATGCAAGCCCTGACGCTCTCCCCCCTGAGAGGAAATATATTTTTGCTGTGAGTCAGGCACAGCAATTAGCCTGACCATGGGAAATGGCGAACACCCACCCACAGGGAACTGCGGTCTCTCCCCTAACGTTGCCACACGATGAAACGCTGGTAAGAGCCGGGCCCTGAGGAGAAGCTGCCGGCTGGGCAGAGGCCGCCCTCACCGCTTTCCCTCAGGCAGAAAAACCGCTCTTTCCCCTGAGGGAGCCATGGCGACGGCGGGGGCCGTGCCGGAAGGGGCCGCGCCGGGCTGGGCGGTGGCTCCGCGGACTCCTCCGCGATGCTGCCGCTGCTGTTACGCCGGGTTGGGGTGGCCGCTGCCTCACGGTGGGGGACGCGACGGTGCAGTTTGGGCGCCTGCTGCTCCTACCGCCTGCGAGACGCCCGTGAGTGCTGCCGCCCTCCCGCGCCGCTTCCCTCAGGAGTTGGGGGGGGGGAGCCGGTTCCCTCAGGCCGGGGCTCCCCCGAGAGCGGCTCCCTCAGGCCGGGGCTCCCCCGAGAGCGGCTCCCTCAGGCCGGGGCTGTCCTCACCCCTCGAGGCGAGCAGCCTCCCGCCGCCTGAGGAGAACAGGTCACCGGCCCGAGCCCCCTTCGCGCTCCTTTCCTGCCGGGGCACGGGTAGCCCCCCTATCCCTCCCTTGCTCCCCGGGCTGAGGGGGCTGCCGGTGCCTCGAAAGTTTGTGTAGAAGAGGCGGGGACGCCAAGTTCAGCCTGGCTTTGTCTGTGTCAGTCCCTCCGCTGAAACGTCAGGAAACGGCACTAAAAATAACAGAGCTGTGGCGCCTCTGGGGAATATCTTGTTCTTCTGCCTTACCTGTGTGCGGTGACCTTGTGCAGGCCCATAAAGTTTGCCCCTTGCTGAGAAAAACGAGTGGAATGGTTGTTAAGCCGCTCCTCATATGAGTGGTTTGTTAAAAGATTTAATTTATTTTTCTTTCCCCTTGGGAAAGACATTTGTCTCTGTATATTGTATCTGGCATTTGTATTTGTATCTAATGAAGTAGCTAATAATGCATCACTTCAGAGCCTCTCAGTTTTGGGCTCAGTGGATGAACAGAGCACAAAAAACCTTTGTGGGTCATTGATGTCGGGGGACAGCAGGTGAGCAAGTGCTCCCCAAGTCCACGCAGGTCTCAGTTCTATTTTTAAGGAGAATAAAACCCTGTGGAAACTGTATTCATGCGTCTGCCCTGCTCGTACCAGTTTGAGATGACCAATCTGTCCCCAAAATTGTTAAGTGTAGGATTCTACAGGTGTGGAGGTCAGCTGTAGGTCCCTACTGCATAAAGTAGTCTTGGTCAATATTGGTATGGGTGCTTCAGAAGCACCTACGCTCTTCGCAGTAGTGTAACCTGTAAGCACGAAGGTGAAAGACTGGCACCTTCAAAGGAGTTGTTGCTTTGCAGTGGGTGTTATCCTGTGTCTGGTGCAATCCGGTGTCAGTTGATGGTACTAGTATATAACAAAATCTGAAGTGGTGTGGTGAGACTCCAGCAAACTTGTAAAACAAAAGCTACCTTAAAATCAATTGGCAATAAAAGGAAAACAATTTTCTGATAAATAAGGGGACAGAATTTTTTTGAAGAGCGTTTTGCAAATGTGGAAAGGTATCAACACAGTTGTAAGTCAAATTACTGCACTTCCCTGTGTAGCTCTGAGTCATGCAACTGGAATGTATTATTATTTTACTTTCCTGTGCATCAGCTGACTTGAATTAGCTTTTGGAGCCAATATGGCAAAGCATCTTCTCTTGCCAAAGAGTTCTGAAGTATTCAATTGGAAATTCTGTATCGTGCATTAGAGCCTCACTCTGTTCTTCATCTTCCAGTGCACCCACTTTGGCAGAGTCCGCTTACAATTCCCGGGGGCACCCGACAGTCTCCTATCAATATTCAGTGGAGAGACAGTGTTTATGACCCCTTTCTGAAGCCTTTGAAAATCAGCTATGACCCAACGACGTGTCTTCACATCTGGAACAATGGATATTCATTCCTGGTTGAATTTGATGATTCTGCTGATAGATCAAGTAAGCAAAACTCAGAAAAATCTGTATAATGTATTATTAATGCTTAGAGAGGAGAAATATTTGCATGCTGTAAAACCTCAGGTTCAATAACATCACAAATGTTGAAAATGAATGTACAGTAGAAGAACTCTTTAGATAAATGCAGATTTACAATGGGAAATGTATTGCAGAAGTTCTACACAGGCCTCACTTTTACTATGTATTTATCGCCGTGGACATTGTGTGCAAATCCTCTGTTGTAGGTTGAAATTGATTCTTATCACACAAACCTTAATGTCCTGCTTCTTCATAAGGTCTTGTAATTTCACAGCGTTGTCTATGTGAGCCAATCTTCAGACATATGTACCTATTTAATTTTAAACGAGATTCCATGATTACACTTTAATAAAATAATCTGCCGCTTATTTCTTTTGTGGTGTTAACAAATACATTGAATGCATTTGAAATAATGAGCAGCAAAATGACTTACAGTTAGAAACCATACATACTTATCTCAATAAGCTTTCTGAGAATTAAATAGGCAGCAGGTGCATGTATTCCTGTTGTTTTAGTATAAGGAGGAGTCCACTCATGCAAAATCCAGTTATGCATTCCATCAATTTGTTGTGAATAAGCGTGCTGACCTGATCAGCTGAATTTTTTTGAACTGCTCAGTAGAGTCAGGTGACTTAAAATCAAGATACTGCCACCAAATTCCAAGATTTCCTGTCCTTTGTTCCTTTTAGAAGTTGACTTTACCAGAGAATATTGCTTGTATGTATAAAGAAGATATTTCGTAAAGGTAGGTGAACTGGTAGCAGTTGGTCAGGGATATTGTAAAGCACATGATTCACGTTGATTACTCAGCTTCTCCTGGAGGGAAACATTGAGAGACCCTGGGCAAGTTTGAACCTGTTTCATCAGAGTCATTTATGTTTAATGTGACTGCTTACCGTGAGAGATGCTAGAACTTGGTAAGGATTTAGTCATGCTCTTGGGAAGGAAGCTTTCAGCATGCTAATAAACAAATGTTGTGTCTTCGCAGTACCTGTATTTTTGGTTGATGTTTGGAAAGAGGCTGATAAAACAGTGCAACAAAAATTGTAGTGGTGGAATGCATGGAGCTTTCAGGGGCTTGTGTAATGTTGTTTTTTTTTTTTTTTTATTGTTTATAGGTGTTTACCCAGAATATTAGTTTCTAACCAGAGAGTATTCTTGCCCTTGTTCATTTGAGCACTATGATATGTAATGACGAAACCATGTAGTGCCCTTCTGTTTTACAGTACAAACTGCTATGGCGTTAGTGAGGTGCGGTTAGAGGAGAGACTAAGATGAAGACATCACTTGTTAGCTCATCAGTGATTTTAACTTACTAACTTTAAGTTAAAAGCAAAACCAATCTAACAGTCTTTTACTTTATACAGCCACATCCCATTATCTGTTGAGGATTTGTTCCTGAGAAGTGTAATGGTTTGCAGTTTGATGGATGACAAAGTCATTTTTTTTTCTGCAAGAATTGATGTAATGGAGGGGAATTGCCTGTGGGAGGGTAAGAAATACACATTTAAATACACGGGGGCAGTTCTTGTGACATAGAGGCAAGCATGAAATCATCAGAACTGTCTGAGGGGTGCTGGTCTTTCAGAGGCTGGCTATTCAGCTGTGAAAGATCTTGTCTGCTTCATCAGTAAGGCTGAACACCTGAGATGGATGTTTAAGTGTGAGCATTCTTGCTGCCTCTCTCTGGATGGCTGCCTTTTCATTAGCATCATCACCATCTTCCTCAAGTTGATGAAGGGTGATGATGACTGGTGGAGGATGGCATTAAACAGTGACTGGCCTCCAAAATGACAGATCAAGAAACAGCAGATCATGGGTGTTGCTGTATAAATGGCCAGGTTTTCAAGTGCCTGCCTCTCTGCTCTACCTTTCTTTCTTTACTGTTGCTATTTCTGATTTTTCTTTCTGCCAGCTTCTGCCTAACAATAATAGAAATCCAGAGAAGCAAGCTTATGAATAAACAGAGCCACAAAATTGAAACAGAAGATAAAAAGACAAAATGAAACGTATCCAGGATAGACAATAATGCCCAACTCCTGAGACGAGGCAAAACAAGACTTGGGCAAAAGATGAAGGTAGTGCTGCCATGGGGTGTTTACTTATGAGCAGAGCAGGAAGATGAAGAAGGAGGAGGGTGTGGGGAAGGTATGTACAGAACATGGTCTTGTCTGTGTGCATGAATGCCACCTGCTGCAAGGAAATGAGACTGAAATGGAACTAGGGCTACAATAAAAAGCTGATGTGATTCTTTCCTGATGTTGTTGAAGTTCCTTTAAACTTCTACTTTGTTTTGAAATTACCAAAACTGGTAAGTTGAGAAGAAATGAAATGTCAAAAATGCTTGTAAAGGGACAGCGAGTTCCTGTGTGTGTCCTGTCACCTTCTAGTGTCCACTATAGGAACCTGATTTTTTACCTATGTGTGCCTGTGGCTTACTTTATTTGTGAAGCAGACATTCAAGTGAATGGGATTATTAACATGAATGTAGTCACTTGTGGGTTTGCATCATCACGTAATCAGGAATGGATGGTGTTAGAGCATAGAAACTTTAATTCTGAAAGACTTGGTGGTGTGGACCGTGTCTTCATCCCATCCCTGAAAGTTACCCATCATGGGTTTTTTTAGTGTTGGTCAGTATTGCCTTTATGCTAAGAGCTCAGCAGCAGTGGATGAAGTTAATTAAATGTAAATTTGCATAGCTTGTTTCAGATTACTCTTATCACAAGGAGGCCTGTCTAGTTAGAATTTCAAAACCACTGGCTGGTGTTCAGGAAAAAAAAGGAAAAAAAAAAAACAAGCCTACAAACCAAAACACAAGAAAAGCTCTTAATGCCTCTTGTTGTTTTCTCCTTAGCATTAAAGCGACTAACTTATTTTCAGAAGTAATGTTGGAATTATGTACTTTATACACGGCTTCGCTATAAAATGTAACTATGACATACAGTTAAGATGCATTCGCTGATTTTTACTTTACAGTTACATATTTACTGTTAGCCCTTTGGAAGTAATTATCATCTCTCATTTACCAGATGCTGTGAGGTAATAACTAGCAAGAAGACTTTGCAGGATGTCGCTGGTTTAGTTAGGAGGAAATGAGTAAAACCTAACAGTACGCAGCAAACTAAGCATAGGCTTTTTCATTCATGTGTACACAAAATGCTGAGAGGCCTTCTGAAATCAGGAGAGCAGACTGAATGTTTACCTTTACTAATGGCTAAAAAGTGTACTAAAGCTTCCAGAAACTCAGAATCTTGCCAATGAGCAGAGTGTATATTTAGATACTTTGTCGAGTGTAGTTTGAGCAGTTTACAGTAGGCACAATATTAGCATATTTCTGGCTGTGCAGGAAATCTTTTGACATTTGTTATGCAGTCTGAAAGCTGCATTGAAGCAGAATAGTTTGTTTGGATTTTTCTAACTTGAAAAACAGCACAGCTGAACATTTGACACAAGGTACTGATTTTTCTGGCAAAATTGGGTTTTGGAAGTCTTGTATTGTCATGGGAAATTTCAATATTTTTCATAGATATTGAGGCTTTGCTGGGATGACATTTAATAGATGTGTTCATTGCTTTGTCATCATACGTGTTTCTTCTGGTAAGGCAGTTCTCATTTGCCTACTCAAAGAGAGTAGTGTAGAATGTAACATGTAATCACCATGACTCTGCCAAACTTGATGTGAATTGGAAAGAAAATTCTCTTGAGGGGAGATGGATGAGACTAGTTTATCTTCAATTTCATATAGCTGATTCAGGCTGCAGGGAAAACCAGTGATGTGTGTGTTTGAATAATTTTGTCATAGCAAAGTAAAGTGTAAAAGTAGCCAAGTAAAAGTAACAGCGGACTGTTTCAGTTAAGGTAGTTGCTCCACCTGATTTTTTATTTTTTTTTTTTTCCTGGGCAAATTTATTTGAAGGAGGATCTTGCTGTATTACTTGTCTGGACAATTCTAAATGCTTATTCATATGTGTGTCTTGTTTTGTTTTTTAGCAATCGTTGGAGGCCCCTTGGAAAACCAATACAGGCTAAAGCAGTTCCACTTCCATTGGGGAGCTGTAAACGAGTGGGGTTCAGAGCACACAGTGGACAGTAAATTTTACCCAGCAGAGGTATGAGATAAAATGCTGAACAATGCAAATGCTTGTGGGGACTGGAGGCTAGGTCTCAGGCTGTCTGTGACTATAATGCATGCTAGAAAACTCCCAATTTGAAGAATTGCAGTTTATTGTTAACAATCAGAGCTGGTAGGTGCCATAGCTCATCTACCACTTTATTAGTAAGTTCATAATCACTGTGTTTTCTGGAGAAGAACAGAGTCTTAAAATTGAACATTGGCCCCATTACTGAAAGTTTCAGTAATGTTTTCTTCTCCCTGAATGTCGCTGGGGTAGCTGCCGGACAAGCCAATGGCCGGCAGCAAAGTGTCATTGCTATTCCAGCTCTGTCTGGGTGGAGTGGCACAGCTCTGCTTGCCCTTTCTCCTTTTAAAGGGGAAAAGGATGAGAGAGAAGGCAGGTTGAGGGCACAGTCAGGTCTGAATGAACGCCCAGATCCCAGCTAACGTGGTACAGACCAGGTGGACAGTAAATATTGACGTAAATGTGCAAACTCAGATCTCAATTAAAAAAAAAGTGCTTTACCCCTGAGCGTCAGTAAGCCAAGAGTTCATGTGAGATGTAGGATCTGTTTTCTTAGGAGTATGGTGCGTGCATTTCACCTCAGCTGCTGTCTCTAGTGGACCTCCGAATCTCCCAATCCTTACTGCTTTAAAAATTGCTTTGTTTATTATTACTAAGCGCTTGCAGAGAAACAGAGCACATACTAAATACTCTAAAAAAATATTTAAAGAGGAAATGGAAGATTATTTAATTCTCACACCCATACTTGTAACTCAAGAAGCCTGGTCCTGCTTATCTTATATACAGTAACTCTCTTGTGTATGTGACCCGAGAGCCTTGGCTAATGTTAGAAAGTTTATTCCAATTATCAACAACTTTTTTGTGTGTCTCCTAAGTTAGAATAACATACAGCAGAGTTCTATTGATACCAAATTTGATCAAGAAAGAATATTAAAATGGAATAAGCCCCTTTGGTATGCTCTACTTGTTTATACAAGGTTTACACAAAGGATGAGTAGGGTGTCACACACACCCTGCTCAGACTTTGGAATTGCATTTGTCTCTCTGGGTGCATGATAGGAGGAGGGATACCCCATGCACCCTGCGCTGCAATAAACCAGTGTCAGCTTTCTAAACTGTCATTTGGTTTGGGGAGTTTTCTTGGTTATGATTTTCGGTAACACTATGGTTATATAGTGGTCATCACGTTTAATTTACTTTCTGTTTTCAACTCTTAAGCACTTATTAAAGTGGCAGGACTTTTGTGATTAAGTAGCTACTAAGGCAGAAAGAGTTCAATTAAAAGGACGGAGCCAACAGGGAAAAATAGAGATTAAGTTGCTCAGATAAGAAATTATAACAGGTATAAACACAGTTATATGCCAGAGATGGACAATTTGAAAAACAGTTATTGCTTATTTTTGAGAAGATGCTTATCTCCTGTTAATGTGTTCATAATGATGCCTGTCAGCTTGGCAAGATATTTAGTAACAGCAAGACTGTATGACTAAGTTTTGGGACTGGTGCTGGCTATTTATTTAATACACAAAACTGCTCAGTGGAATGCTTGTATTGGACCATAAGCAATGCAGAGGAAGCTTAAGTTATGTGCGGGACAATGTTCCTTACCAGAATAGCATGCTCTGTTCTTCCTGTTAAGAGATGGAAGAGTCCTTCAGTTCCAGGTATACTAAGCTTTTTTTGTGCTTTTAACTAGCATTCCTGTAATCAGTCTCCCACAGACAAAAACCCTTTCATATGTGTGAAATGCAGTTTATGAGTCTCTGGCTATTGTTTAAAAAAGGAAAAAAAAAAAAAAAAAAGGAACTACCATTATTTTCCAGTTCACATTTTGTCCTTATTTTTGTGGTGTGTGATTTCTGAGGTAGCTCGCTGCAGTGTCTCAAGTTGCCAAGGACCAAATGTAGCAAAGATCAGAAGTAATTTTTGTTTTTGCTAACATTGCTGTGCTCTGTGCATATGTTTGATTTCTCATTCATTTATATTTCAGTTGCATTTGGTACACTGGAATGCTGTTGTGTACCCAACTTTTGAAGAAGCTGTGATGGAAGGTAACGGCTTGGCTGTTATTGGAGTGTTTTTAAAGGTAACTTCACTTTGTGTAATAAGCTGTAACGACGTCTTTTTATTTTCACTTTGTTAAAACCGATTTAGGACAAAATACCTCCAGATTGTTGCTGTTTTCAAAAAACACTGATTAAGGTAGAAATGCAGAATGTCAGCTTAATGATTTGCTAACTCCTACCTGTCTTCCACAGCTAGGAGCACATCATGAAGGGCTGCAGACACTGGTTGATGCTTTGCCAGCAGTTAAACACAAGGTAAGTATTTTTAAGTGTCACACCAGTTATCACTCAGCGTAGTTAATGCAGTCATTCAACAAAAAGAATACTTTGAGTATAGTAAAACACTAATAAATGCTTTTTTCCTTAAATGTCCGTAGGGGGCCTGATTGACACCTTGGGTGAATTGTTGATTATACTAGAGGCAGGAAAGCTAATTTTTAAGGAGAAATTGTATACTTTAAGCTTTCCAAACCTCTTGGTTTAAGAAATAATGCTATTGAGATTGTATCCTCTTAGAAGGGCATGCATGTGTTTAATGCCTGCCCTCACTGAAGCCTGCCCTTCCACTTCTATGAAAACAGATGCCACTAGATTAGTTTTTGTATATTGTTTAACTGGAAGGAACTTTCTATGCTGTGTTAAGTGGTAGTTTATTTCTTGTGGAATTAAGGCTGTCTGATCTCTGAGGAGGAGATTATTGTTTACTTTGTGTTTAAACACTGTAAATTTTCTGCTAGGGGAATGGGACTCTTTCTTCATAGCTGATTTCTGACTTCTGCCAGGAGAGGGAGTGCTGCATCTCTGGTACTACTCAGAAGCAGCTCATGCTTCTTGAGTTGCCCATTCCTTTTTGAAAGTACACACAAAAAATGCATATCAAGAATTTTCCTGGCTTGTAAGCACATCCAGTTGAAGTCGCTGTGCCGTTATTTATCACAGTAAGGATTTTTTTTTATCCAAATTAAACAAATATTTATGGCAGTGCAGTGAAAATTCTGCCAGATAAATAGCAAAACAGTCAGTTCAGTGCCAAAAGACCTCAAAAATATGTGAATATATATCTGTTAAGAGAATATAATATTTTACAGCATATAAATTTGAAAGAAACTAAAGTAAAGATCTTAAAAAAAAAAAAAAAAAAAAAAAAAAAAGGCAGTATCAAACACTAGGCTCATCAAGCTGCATATGGGTCTGCTCTGGGAGGGATCTCATTTCCAAAGGGTGTCAATCACCCAGCAACTCATCAGCATTTGGTTTAAAATGTTTGAAAACCTTTGACTTACCAGTGTTACCACTGACTTAAGCACCAAATCCTGAGGAGCATCACCCTGGTGAGGAGGAGGAAGAAGGTCAGATAATACCCATTCTGCTGTCCTTGAACCATCCTCTCTCACATGAAGGGTGAAAGCTTCCATCTAGAATCTCTTGTCTAGTTCCCTATTTTTGAAAAATTCTTTACTGTAATATTTCTTATTCTCAGTGGGGAACCAATAAAGCCTCTGTAAAGAAAAATGAGATGTTCCTTTCCTGCACTGCCAGTATATTCTGGAAATACCTCAGCAGTCAAATGTTTGTATAGGAAATCATGGGCTCTGAAGCTCCTATATGCTGTCTGGTATCTCACTTGAGAGTGCTCATTCTGGGGACATGGATACTTGATATGATTTAAATAAAACTTCAGTCCTCTTCCCTTTCCCCGCTGCCTAAAATCACATGGTGAAAAGTAAAAGCACTATTGTTTGCAGTCTATTAAGTACATCTGGCAGAACTACCTGAACTTATTCCACCACTTACTTTCTTTTTCTTGTTTGCTTCTAGCTCCCCCAAAGACGTAGTCAATTGATCCTTTGCACTCCTTGTTTCTTCTGCACTGAGTTCCTAATGGCTTGTGGAGGCAACAGAAATATTTAAATTTTGTCTACTCACTAGCTGCCTCAAACCCATTTTACCAATTTTGTATGAGTTTATGGGGTTTAAATTATGTTTTTATGTAGATCATTATTAATATTCACAATACTTAATTTTGCATGGGCATATATAACACATACAGGATTTAATCTCATTGTTAAGATATTTTAAAATCTGCTATAACTTTTTTCTCAAAATACAATTTTTAAAAAAAATGTCTTTCTGGGGTTTAGGACACTGTTATCGAGTTTGATGTCTTTGATCCTTCCTGTTTGATACCTTCATGCCCTGATTATTGGACCTACGCAGGCTCTTTGACTACTCCCCCACTTACCGAATCAGTTACGTGGATTATTAAGAAGCAGCCAATAGAGGTTGATGAGGATCAGGTAAATCTCATGCTTACATTTCAAATCATACCATACTTGTTAGACTGCCTGCTGCCATGGAGGAGAAGGTGCACAGTAGTAGTTGCTTACTCTGTGAATATGCAGAGATGAGTGGCTGCTTCACACCCAGGGTTTGTTTGGGGAGGTATCCTGACATTAACATAGCATTTTATATTGATCTGTGATAAACAATGCCTTATACTGAAAGCTGCCCCTTGAAAACTTCAAAGGTTATTCATTGGAATGCTGCATAATTTTGCTCTCCTTGCCAAGATGCAGCCCTTTTTGTGGTAGGGAAGGAGAAAGGGCAGGTTTTGTGAAATTCCACACTCTGACCTTTTGTGCATATTCTTGATAGCCACGTGAATTTGTACAGAAATCTTGCAGAGACTGCAAGGGCTAATTCTCTGTTCTTCCCTTGGGCAGACTCTGAAGGTGCAGGAGGGATGGCGGGTGGCTCCGAGTCCTTCACATGTCATTCTGACGGCCAGAGATAGAGTGGGTCCCTGTTGGGTTATCTCCTTTGCCTTTGTAGGCATGTTTACTCTATATTTGGCTGTACTGTTCTTGAATTCCATTTTTTTTATTTTCTTTTTTTACTTCGCCTTTAAAAAGGACAGATGAACAAAGGTTACAGCAACTGTTTGTATTACAGAAGTTATCTCAAGTGAAGGAGTTCTTGGTCAATAGTCTGGTCTGAGACCAACCCTAACTTTTCACTGTATGCCCTCTACTGCTTTTAATTTTTAGTACTTTATGTTTCAATGAGATGTTATTCCTTAGTGTGAAGTAGATGTAGGGACAAGTAGAAAATGGGCAGAAGGAGGACTTGTTGGAACTGTATTACAATTATGTATTTTGTTGGAAGATTTCAGGATTTTTTTTTTTTGTCTTTTCAAAGAAATGGAATACTTTGAGGGGCACTATGTCATAAAACACATCCTGGAGACTGTTGCAAAGCAAGTAGAAATTAACAACCTAAAATTCTACTATTTTTTCATGGTTCAGGAGGCACTGGAAGTTGTCTGTGCATTGTCCCTGTTTTTTGAGGCTTTGATTAATAATGAAGTTGTGTCGTTGGACTCACAAGCAAAATACTGATCTTTTTTTTTTTTTTTTTTTTTTTTTTTTTTTTAATTCATACAACTTTTGCATGGAGATAGTTCATCTAGAAAGTTATGCTCCAAACAAACACTAACTCTGAAGAATTAGCATGTTTCTGATCTTAATGTTTTGGTTTACGTAAAAGAACAGGAGGGGAAGAACTGAAGATTGTTAACAGAGCAGAGAGAACTGAATACATAGTATATAATTTTTCCTTTAAATTGAAACTTTTTATCTTTTATTCCTTCTCTTGGATCTTTACTTGTTTATGGCATAAAGGCTTATAGTTTACTTAACATTGAATGCCCTTGTGAGCATTAAAAGATGATCTGCTGCATACTTTATTTTAATCCCCAGTTATAAACCACTGAGAACAACAACTATGTAGATTGTTGCTTGTTGAGGTTCCCTCTTTTATGGGTGCCAGCATATGCACTTCTGTATAAGATAACAGAACTCTGGGAAGGGTATAAATTAAGAAGGTTGGAGAGGTTTATTTAAAGATGGCATATGTTCCAGTTTCTGAACGGGAATCGGTTCTGTCTCAGGCATGCCACATTTGAGAGGTAATTTGCCGAAATATGGCAGATGACTGACAATTCATCTTCTGCATTGATATGGATGATGGTGCTTTACCAGCAGGTGACAAAGAAGGGCCAGAAGTTTGTGCTAAAATTTCTCAGCATGCAAATGTAACAGTACCTTCGATTTTTTTTTTTTTTTTTGTCCACGCATGAATGGTTGTGTTTTGTCGTGAACTCCAATAATTCTTCAGTTAGTAAAGTCACAAAACTGGACATTTCTCATTCTCAGCTGGAGGCATTTCGGATGCTGCTCTTTACTTCAGATGGTGAAGAAGAAAAGAGAATGGTAGACAACTTTCGCCCTCTTCAGCCATTAATGAACCGAACCGTCCGTTCATCCTTCCAAAGCAGGCACCTCTTGAATACTGAACTACAGCCCAAGGACCATGCTGAGCAAATCGGGCCGTAGATGGCCCATGAAATGTCAGTCCAGACTGCAGTACCTGGATATAACTGACGTTATTTTTTAATTATTTTCCCTTTTTCTGCAGTATGTGTGTGTATGCTGTACAGTTTCACAGCCAGCCAGCTTCCGTTCTGCTAGGTGCCATTTGATCCTCAGCAGAGAAGCTTTTTTAGTTTTGATTTTTTTAAGAATAAAATAATATTGACCTTTAACAAACTGACTTGCTTTAAAGCAGGGATCAATAAGGAATTATTTTGACAGTTAAAGGAAAAACAAGGGCAGGAAATCTCTTCCCCTGCCTCTTTTCTGAATTGTTTTGTCTCTCCAAGTGCTCTTTCAGTGACTTGCATGAATTAATAATCCCAACTAAAAACATGTTAGCAAGCAGGAAATGTGAAGAAGTGAAAACTATTAATACTGATCAGGACCTTTTATGGAATTGTTTCAGAGGTTTGTGAAGAGAACTAGCTTCTCTAGTCAGATGTACAGAGACATTTTATCATCTTCCTTTTGCCTTGATGCTTAAAATGATGAGAGGATGAGGGGAAAAAATGATTTATAGAATTTAACCTCTTCCATTCTATTGACTCCATGATCCATGTTTGATCAGGATGCCACAGAACGTCCACTCTATCGACACCACAAGCCAGAAGACATTTTCTAAAACATTATAACGTATGTAGAAGCTTTTAGCTTTGGCAGCTTTTTTTTTTTTTTTTTTTTTTTTCTGTATTAATAATGTACCAGGAGAAGAGAACAGAAGAGAATTCACCAGTATCTCAAGATTGGTAAGAGCATCATATTAGGCAAAAATGTCCAGTTGATCCTAGGAAACTGATCACATCAAAGGAAAGCAAAATTAGACAAGCCCCAGATGACTTTCCCAATGGGATTGGGGTGGGGAGCAAGAAAAAAATACTTCTGAAACCTAGTGCAGTGCTAGGAGAGTATGGACAAAATGCAGCATTCAGGTACTTGAAAGAATTTTTTCAGTAACTCATAGAGCACCAGTGCACTCTCTTCAGAGATTTGTCTTAAGACAAAACTTTCTTCTAAAATGAGTTATCTAGCTTCAGGACAACTGGGGACCAGATTGTATTCCTTAGCACCTTACGGTAACGAAGTTAAGTGGTGATTGAAATTTATTTGTGGCCCAGACAAAATATTTGTGTAAGCTGCCAGCTGTGGAGCCTTATCCTAGAGTTACAGTCCAATTACCACAAATATTATCTACCTCTGAAGTATACTACTACTAGTCATAATTTTCTCTTGAGCACCTTTTTCACTGGCTTTTTATGTTTTACTGTATTTAACAGTGTGCCTGTTCATGAAATTGATGTACAGTCAGGTTTTTTGATGAGGAGCAGGTCTGTCTGTAAATTCATGATGTGATCTTGATTAATTGTATCTGAGGAATCTTGGAGTATAGATGTTACTTGGTCTGCTTCTGCCACTAAGCAAAGGCACTGGTTGCTGCTGTGATTCAGCACAAGTAAAGCCAGGACACTAGCTTCTCAATGCTACATTCAGAACTTTAGAATTGATCCTTTTTTTTTTTTTTCCTAAGTCCAAGTGTTCAATTTAAAAGCACTTTACCACTATTTAGTGTGACCCTGATGATTTTAAGGCTTTTGAATATTCTTGTTTAACCAGTTAAGTGCCTGGGTCCTGCCTTTGCTTCCTTAATAGCTCTACCTCAGGCTGTTGATACGTTGCAACAGTTGTGCCTTTCTTGCCTGGCAATTTGAAATGTGGCCACTTAACCTTAGAGTAACCTGGTAAATGTAAGAAACTTTCTCTTCTATCCCAGTGTAGTGTACTTATTTTTACTGTGTAGTATATTCAGAATGGCAGTATGTATCTTCTGTATTAATACCTCTCCCAAGCCCTTACTGCTCAGTTGAATCTTACCATCTTGGTTGAACTCTGCAGAACTATACCATCTCAGTTGAACTATACAGTCCTTGGCATCATCAAACTTTTTACAATGTTCCTGGTCTGCAGAATCATATCAGTGGTGGTTTTGCCAGAGAATGACAGGTTCCAAACTAATTTTGGAAGGGATATCTACAGTTCTGGCAATAGCAAAAGAATTCTTTTGCTTTCTGCCTGAAGGTATGTGACCTAGTCATCGTTAAGCTTGAGGTTTTTGTTCAGTGCTGTTCTTGAAAACATTTTTCAAAGGAGGACCCCATAGAAAGATGGCAGTTATTCAGAACTGGCACATATCTTGTCTATCTTTGTGATTTTTCTTTTTATTGCTACTTTTTATTAGCAGTTAGGAAAAACTGTAATGTAAAGACATCTTAATATTGCCTTCACATTTAAAAGTCCAGGCGACTCAGCAGCACAAAGCTAGCTGTAGGTAGCCTGCATCAATGTCCCTATCATATACGAGTGGGTCTTTTTAAAACCTTCATGCAATTGCTCTAAGTTTTTTTTAGTTGCCTCAGTAATTTTCACCAAGTTTTTCTGTACCTCTGATCCACTGAGCTTGTTTCACAAGTTAATATAGCTTTCCTAGCATATGCAAATACAAAATACATATTTTGTTCTTAGGGAACTGCTGTGGTGTAAATGTTTAATCTTCAAATGCTTCATAATGCTGTAGTATGTTCATACCCAACTGAGTTCTCAATGGTTAGGTTTGCTCCACTGAACCAAATTTTATTCCTAGGTGTGCAAATCTCTTTTTAGCATGCTCACCACCATGCAGCCGTCAGAAATTTATGTTGAATAGTCTATTTTCAGTGATCCATTTAAAATTCTTATATTTACTTACTTTGTTGAAGTATTGTGCTGGAAGTTTTGTTAGAGAATAGGTATATTATCCAGTCATACAGTTAATAAGTTATACTCCATACATATTTAGATAAAATCAATTAATTTTAGTTTCAGCACTGATCACTTCAAATATCTGGAACCAGGGTCAACATAGGAAAAAAAATTACTGTGCTACAAATCCCTGTGCTTTACAGGGATTCTCTGTTACAGTTGTTTTGCTGGATTTTTTTCAGTCTTGCATTTATGTGTTAGTGTTTTAGCATCTCTGGTTAAGGTAGGCAGTATCTCAGTTGCAGGGTAGATTGTTGTTGAAACTAGCAGTCTGGAAATTAACAGAAAGGTGGGTTTGGGTTTTTGTTTGTTTGGTTTTTTTTAACTTCTATGTTACAATGCCTATATTGGCCTCACACAAGCTAACTTCAGGAAAAATAATTCTATGTGCCTGCACATGTATGTAAAATGGGAGATGGGATATAATTCTTTTGCCTTATTCTCTCAGTTGCGTTTGGGGGGAAAATTATTTGATTTGATTGTTGGTCTAGAGCTAATACTTGTACTGATTTTGCACAACTAAGTTAAACTCTATTTGAGAGGCAGGAATCTTTAGGCTCTCCTTTTAGATGGTACAATACGGAAGAGTCAAAGCACACATTTATATTTGTCCTTGCATAGTAGTAATTTCCATTACTTAATACTGTATTGGGAGGTGTTCCTGTGACAGTAAGTACTAGGAATTAGAGACTGTAATAGAAAGAATTTTGAGGACAGCTTACTGAAAAGGGAGTAGAAGGTTTTTGAGCATAGATCTGTGTTGGTCTGACTTTCAACTACCTTTCAGTGTTTCTGTTAAATGTCACTCTTATCAGAAGCCTTGTTCTTGGTGACTTCATGGCTGGAATGACTTCATTTGACATTTGAATGTTTGATCCATATTCCTACGTTCCAGGACTTTCACACCAGTGTACTTCAGGTGTACACCACCATGTAAACCTGACCAGTCTTTTGTCATCTTCTGTCATGAGTGGCTTTGCATTGGTATTTTTACCGCAAGTCTGACAGGAGTGTATATTTTGGCTTTGAAAGCTATAGAAATGGAGATTGCTTCGGTCTTACAAAAATCTACTGGCTTTTAGAGTACTGGAATTCTACACGGCTTACTTTTAAGGAAGGTTCCCTTTTCTCAACTTTGTAGTGAATAGTATTTGCTTTAAAAATTTGAATGCCTTAGCTTCGAATGTCTTAACTTGTATTTCTTGGCACATCTTTGCTTTTTTATTTGTGCGTCTTGTTTTCATGGCAGTTATTACATTGTGTATTTTAATGTAGTTATTACATTGTGTATTTTAATGTATGTTATCTACCTAATCATAATTGACTGAAATAATTGTCTTTGTAGACAACATCCGTAAGAGGGAAAGCCTTGTTTTCCTAGGATACAGGCCTTTTGTCTCAGTTTTTACCTGATGTAAAGGAACTTCTGGCTGTTAGATTTTAAACTATTACATTTGTGTGTGACTATGCAATAAAGAAACAGAAACCTGTGCCTGTATCTCATTGTGTAATTAAGCACTCCAAGTTTAAAAGTAGATTTTCTGTCAAGAAAATAATACAATTCCTCCTCTGAGAATGAACCAGTTCATTATGAGTGGAGTCTAATCAGATGTCAGACATTCTGTGATACTTAAAAGCTATGAAAGACTGCTGAACTGTATTATAATTGGAATGAAAGAACAATGACCTCTCTGTTGCAGCTGTACTGATGGAAGGATATCTAATTATTTGTTACATTCAGCTAGATGCAACATGCCATCTAAAATGGGATTCTAAAGTTTGAGGATCTTTGCTAAACTACTTGATTTGACACTGATCATTAAATTCAACTTGTCAACTAAGCTCCTTTTTGCATTGTGTAATTGGTCTTGATAAAACCAAGCATTGGTCTGATGTGTGGTGTAACTCTCGAGGGTTTCACATTTAGTGGTTGTGGCTACGAGGACCTTATCAGATAACCTGAAAAAAACTTTGAGTAAAATAAATTGCTCTTTTCAATAAAGATTGGCTAATCAGGTGAAATAAGCATTGCTTTTTCTGTCTCACTGCTTGGCCATGCTTAGGTTCTAGATATCATATAGATATGTTATGCTTAGCTGATTTCATTCAAACAAGTTTTCACTTCTTTTGATGGGAAAAGTAGGAGATTACATTCCTGGTTAAGGAATTTCCCCCTAAAATAATTTAGGCAATACTTTCATATAAGGCCTCCCAAACTGTGCTATTTGGTAACCTTTGTTAGGTCGTAGTAGTTTGGTTTGGTTTTTTTTTTGGTTTATGTAAAAGAACAGGAGGGGAAGAACTGAAGATTGTTAACAGAGCAGAGAGAACTGAATACATAGTAGGCAGGCCGTTTCAGTGTGAAGAAAGTGTGGCACAGGTTAAGAATGAGGCAAGCTCCACTATTACTACTGTTTAAGGGTTCTAGAAGCTACCACCACTTCCATTTACCCAACAAAAAAAGCTCCTAAGCTCTTGTGTTAGTATAGCTGAGGTGTTTGCTAAAGAAATGGCTTATTTGGTTCCAGCAGGCTGTCTTATTTTGATCAAGGCAGCTTTCCTGATAAATGGTTAAGAACATACACATTACTTCTAACAAATGGCCAATTTACTTCTGATACTGGTAATTGTTTCTCTTTCTGACAAATAATTCTTTCCGTCTTTCTTTTTGATGTGACAAACTTGAAGTGCCTGAGTATTAGCATATGGAGAACTGATTGTATAATCAAATAGTCTTCAAAGATTCTGCAGAATAACTTGGGGGCCTGAAGAGAGTTAATGTTCATGGTCAGGACTGATAATAATACTTAGCATTCGTGAAGTGCTTTGAAGATATAAAGCACTATATGAACACACCCTAACACCGTGACTGCAAAGCAGGTATTTTCTCAGTAATACAAATGGAGAAACAGCTGCAGAATTAGCGCTGATTCATTTGCAAGACAGTCAGGTATGTGGTTGAATTGAGTATGGCAGTTCAGTGGCTGCTACTGCACTGCCCCTTGATCCCAGGATTTCCAAATGGAAACGGTGTCAAAATGGAGACTGATGTCTGCAAATTCTTACTTGTCAGTCTGTTCAAAAATTCCCTTTTGGAAGAATTGGATGAAGAGAGAAGATAACTTGGTCCCATTCTTGTGAAAGATAATGGAAGTTTCTGTGAGTTAGGTTAGTATGAGGTGAAAAACACCAATCATCAAGGAGTTAATTTGCCTTAAGAAGTTAGTCTAGAGCACTGGTGAAGTAAAGCCACTGATGAATGATTTTGTTCACCCAATTCTACAACTGAGCTTGAGCATTCATCTGAAAATATCTGAAGCATACAGCTTATTTCAATTCCAATCCTGCCTGCTGGATCCTGAGGTAATGAGGCCAACTCGGAGACAATCCCATGTTATAGGTACCTGTTTTTTTCTGATTTTATGGCCCTGTGAACATTTTGCCTAGGATAAAATATGGAATATAGTAACAAGTAAACGTTGTTAAATCTTACTTTGAGTAATAGTTGGTTTAGATTGTAGCCTCTGCAATGGGGCTAATGTTAGGCTAGGAGTCTGAAGAAAGGCTGTTGGGGTTTCAGGAAATCTGCGATAAATATGTTTTGCTGTTTATTTTTAATTAATTTTCATGGTCTTTGCAATCACTTCGGGATCCCATCTCCCTCTGAAAAGTAGAAAAATCCGCTCAGTGCAAAGGTAATTTTTGCCTAAGCTTTCTTCCTCGAGACAGATGCTTGTATAAATCAAGAAACGATGATCCCAAGTTGCAAGCCTCTGGGCTATTGTGGCCAGTGGCCACTAGATGTCACGTTCTGACTAGTGCTTCAAGGGGCTGCTCGGGCTTCCTGAAATGGTTGAACGTGGTCATGATGCCAATTGCCAGTGCCAGGTACCTGAAAACGTTCCTAAACTGTTCCATCTTTCCCCAGAATGCAGATCTCGCGTTTCTCTGAGGTATCTTTTAGAAAAGCTCCTGATCCACCCTACAGCCTGTTCTGAAGCGTGTCTGAAACTCGCGGGGAGGAGGATGGTCCAGGGAGGATGGACACAAACCTTGGCTTGTGTGACACCAACTACTCACTTGCTGAGAAGCAGCTCCTCAAAGGTACCACTTCCACCTCTCAAGGGGAATTACTGTTGTTGGGAATCGGGGCTTCCAGGCTTTAGCCTCTGAACTCATCTCTCATCCCACAAGGACAAGGCAGAGTCTGAATTTGCTAAATAATTAGTTCCTTAGGCACTGTTGTGAGATATCCAAGTAAGTCCCCTTGGATGCAAAACCTATGCCTTCATTGAGGTGGTGTGGTAGAAGTTGCTCATTTTGCCTGCATGCTTGTCAGATTGGCAGATTTTAATTTTTTATTTATTTATTTATTTTTTGCAAACAAGTCTTTTTAGTGCTCTTGGCATCCAAAATGACAGGCAGTCGCCCTGCAGTGCCTCTGCAGAAATGCAGGTGATGCAACGACAGGGCTTTGACCTCTGCTTGTGTGAACATGTCAAATAGAAGAGTGCAGTACAGCGCACTAATATCAGAAATTGGGAAACGCAGGCTTTGCTGAACAGCAGGTTTACACACAGATGCAGAGAGCCCCTTTCTCCTTTGTAAGACTGCACGGCCGAGTCTGGCCAGGAGAATGAATGGTAGCGAACCTCCCCCTCCTGGCAGCCGACAGCGAGGAGCCCCCCCCAGCACCCCGCAGCCGGGGGCAGAGGCGATGGGGGACCCGCTTTGGTCCCTCTGCAGCTCCCCGCTGCGCTTCTTGGGGTGCAGGGAGGGGAAGAGGGGGGGTGGCGTGTGCGAGCTGCCCGCGCCTTGCAAGAGATCCGCCGCTACTAGTGCAAACCGGGGGCACTGCAACACCCCTCCTTCTTCCTCCTCCTCCTCCTCCTCCTCCTCCTCCTCCTCCCGGAAAGGAGGCCAGGCTCCCCGCCTAAGCGGGAGGTGCTCGCTGCTCGCCGCCCACCGCTGCCGGAACAAAAGGCGCGGTTGCATGGTGGCTGCGGAGCACCGGTCCCGCTCCGCACCCCGCTCCGCACCCCGCCACCATGTCGGGCAGCGGCGGCGGCAGCAGCAGCAGCAACGCGGTGAAGAAGAGGAGCCCGGCTGGCTCGGCCTCCTCGCTGGCTCAGGAGGAGGAGAAGCAGGCGATGGAGAAGATGCTGGAGGCGGCGGGCGGTGGGGCGCAGGAGAACGGTTGCGCCCGCTCGCCCTCGCCCTGCGCCTCCGCCGAGGGCGAGGGGGTGACCCTGCAGCGCTCCATCACGCTGCTCAACGGCGTGGCCATCATCGTGGGCACCATCATCGGCTCCGGCATCTTCGTCACCCCCACCGGCGTGCTGCGGGAGGCCGGCTCGCCGGGGCTGTCGCTGGTGGTGTGGGCCGTCTGCGGGGCCTTCTCCATCGTGGGTGCCCTCTGCTACGCTGAGCTGGGTACCACCATCACCAAATCTGGCGGGGACTATGCCTACATGCTGGAGGTGTACGGCTCCCTGCCCGCCTTCCTCAAGCTCTGGATAGAGCTGCTCATCATCCGGCCCTCCTCGCAGTACATCGTGGCTCTGGTCTTTGCCACTTACCTGCTCAAGCCCATCTTCCCCACCTGCCCGGTGCCCGACGAGGCTGCCAAGCTGGTGGCCTGTCTCTGTGTCCGTAAGTACCCGCAGACCCTCTCCAGACACCCGCTGTCCTGCTACCCCACGTGGCTCCCCGCTCGCCATCGCTTTCCCCAAAAAGCCTGCCCCAACCCGTGAGCCCGTCGCTTTGTAGGAGATGCATCATCTCTGCTCTGCTACACTGGCTGAATACTGGGGGGGGGGGGGGGGGGTTGGGGGGCTCTTTTGAGCAGCGTGATTAGGAAATGTGGCCCTATCCCCAAAAAACTGAGCAAAAAAATTATCTGTCATGAGCAACTGGTGCTGAATGTGGCCTGTGCTGCAGCACCTGGCTGTTTTCAGCACCAGTTTTGAGATCTTGGCTGTATGTGCACTGATACCATGCTCAAAACTGGGTTTGGTTTTTTGGTTTTTTTTTTTTTGCTAGCAAACACGGTATCTCATGAGACCTTGCCTTGCAGAGAAGTTCAGTTATGCTGTGATGAATTTAGGGCCACTGATGTCTGTCATGACACACAGATCTGTCTCTCCTGATGCAGTTTTTATCATCCCTCTGGTATTTTGAGTTCTGCAATTTTGTAGGTGAAGCCCCACTTTCTATTTCTCCAGTGACTGCAAAGTCACTCCATCCAAATTCCTCATTCTTTAAATGCAGGACTATTTTCTGCCTTTCTCTCCTTATTTCATATTCAATCTGTGTTCTACTCCACTGGTTATTCTTGTGCCATTGTAAAGATGTATATTGGGAGAGGATATAATTTTTTGTGAGGCCTTTATAAAATACTTATTTGCTGTACAAAGTTACCATCAGGCGATCTTTTTATTTTTTCATTTTGAGACCGTGAAGAGAAGACTGCTTGTTCATGCTGTCCAAAGGGAGATTGTGTTTGATTCCTTCACCCTCTGAGCATCGCAGGCGTTCAAAAGTTGTAGCGCCTGGTCATTATGGGAAGATCTGTTGTCTGTAAATGTCTTCATACACAGATTGACCAAATCTTTGGTAGATGTATTATATGGCTAGCTAGCAGATACAGTAAGATAAATAACAGACAGGGCAGCAAATGGCACTTTCTTTGGGCAAGATTGAAACTTACTCATTCACCAGATAAATTTTTAGGAACATAAGGGCATAACAAAGTGGAATGCATCTATTAAGGAAATAGTTACCCAAGTAAGAAAGCTGTAGCAGGGTTAGAAAATAGTTCTGTTGACGGGTTTCTTGCTTCCAGTAGGGTCTTGTGAAAAATCTGGTTTTAGAGCTTTCCTGCCAGTCCCCAATACGCTTTCTTTAGTGACAAAGAGAAAAGGGGCATGTATGCACGTGGCACTCCTTTTTTTTTTTTCTGAGAAGCTAACAGAATTAAAGCATTTATTAGATGGACTTTCATACTGGTTTACATCAAAGTTTTGCTATGCAAGAACATATTGTAGTTGATAAGGCCTTTGAGAACATGTATCTAATAATAAGGAACTTTGAATCTGCAGGATCTTTCCCAAAATAGGTAAGATGAGGTGTTTCTGCTCCTGTTTTACTGATCAGAAAACGAATACGGGGGTAAAGGTAGACCTGCCCATGGCGAGATCTGTTCATTACAGGATGGATTGCAGCATGAAATTTCTTGATGCCAGGTCTCATTCCAATGTGTCTCCAACTTTCTTTTGCTAGCAATTAGTAGTTTTCCTGAAGCAGAATTTGTTCTTGAACCTTTATCATGAAGTGCCAAGGAAAGAGTCGCTAGTTCTACAAATCTGCGTCATTTCCATGTGTTTCTTCTTTAAACTTTACTCCCCCATACACCGCTGGCTGCTATTTTGTTTATGCTTTGGGTTAAAGTTTTGTTTGTCTCCTTTGTTGCAAAAGGTTAGTTCATCATGCATTGCCTTCAGCAATCTAGTTTTCTGTAACGTTGATTTTTGGAGTTAGCTTTTTAACTGTCTGGTGCCAAAACCACATCATGAACTAGGAACAATAAATGAAGTAAAACTGGTCCAAGGACTTAGCAAGTCACACAAAACTTTTATGGACTAACAAGCAGCTTTGTTACATGGTTGTTCCAAACACACCCCTAACCAGTGAGATACTTTTTTTCCAAGAGCCCAGGGGTAGGAAAAATGGCCTATTTGTGCAAATGCTCTAGAGCATACGTTAACGAGTTATCTCAAAGAGGGGAAGAACTGTTTAGGAAGCAATAGGGTAATTTGGGGCCCCGGGCTGGAATACAGTTGACTTATTATGTAGCCAGAATCCAGCGTCTAGAATAGTACCAGCTGTATTCCTTGCAAATTTTGTATCTCAACATAAAATGCAATTGACTGCATGGTTTCTAGTAAGAGGAGAAATAACAAAAGTTACTTGTTTTCCCTTTGAGTGTTACTGGTGTTGAACAGTTGAATAAATAACCTGTTGTTTGGTATTTGCCACCATAAAGTACAGAAATTGAATTCCTAGGCATTAAGATTATCTAAATAAATCACAGTCTTGAAAGGAAGAAAAAATAGTGGAGTAGGGAATTTTGTTCCCCTGGAGGTACTGAGAAAAACAAGGTGGGTGGTAAGTAGAATTTAACTACAAATAGGTATTTTCTGCTGTCAAGATTGTAATCTACAGACAGTTGGTATGCAAGACTACTTCTTCCACAAGACAACATGAATGCTTATTAAGGTTGCCAAATAACAGTGTGGGAATTCACTACAGGGAAGTCTTCCTGTAGCAAGATGGGTCAAGCTGTTCATCATTAGCGTGGCTTATTTTATGTTCACCACAAAACAGCCAGTGCTCCCTAGTTGTAGGGATTTGCAGGTACTTTGGTTTAACTTTTTTCAAGCTGTGGGTTATTTGGGTAACTCATAAACTGCATGTTATTTACTGGTAAGAGTGGATGGCTGATACTTCATAACTGATAAAACATAAAAGCAAATGCTAAGGGGTAACAAGCACAAAGTCCACCTGGTATCCAAGCATTTGTGAATAGAAAGTTCATGAAGCAGATAATTTGTGCATATGCGTGAAGACCCAACAGTGATTTGAATTCCCCCAAATATGATCTCATCTATACCAATTTTACCCCTTCTACAGAGGATGGAGGGACTGGTATTGGCTCTTTTTTTTTTTTTTTTTATCTTGAGAAACCATCACAGTGGAACATACATTCTTACTGCACTTCCAACATACTTCTATCTTTTTCTGCAATTCTCTACAACTTATTTTGAATTAGAATTTTAAAAATACTTTTTAACAGAGTACTTGGGTAGCAAGTGTAGTTTTGAAAGAACTTGTTGTTTATATACATTGCAGGACCATCTTCATGTAGCAGAAACAGGATCATGTAAAACTGTTTTATCCTGTCTTTTTTTTTCCCCACTGAAGAGGTGGCATCCAGGTGGTGGCCTGAATATTGACGTGGCACAGCATCCAGTTGGAAGTACATCCCTGATGTCTTACAGTTCGGGTGGGTCAGATTCTCTTCTACAGCAGGCTGCCACTTGCGTTAATGTTTCTTAAACTGATAAATCTTAACAAAAATCATTAAAAAAAAAAATAATCACAGAGCACAGCCTAATACCCAGTGTATGTTCTAGAGACGGCTCAAGGATGGAAAGTTTCAAATTGCCCAGTTAAAGATAACATGCATATTCCTCATTTCCACCTGCTAATTTGCAGGTTTCCTACGTAGGAGAGGTCTTTGAATTGTGGTACAGCAAATTCCCTGTAGGTAGAGGGAGATGGGGGCTAATGCTGCTTCCAGACCTGAACTGTTTTTTGCTTGGTACTTCACAAGTGCCTGAACTGGTCTTCCTACACCCTTATTTGCAGCCTGCTGCACAACCCCTCTGTGCTGCATAACAGGTTATTCTATAATTTACTTATTTCTTGACAATATAATCTGCCACAAAAATTTGAGAAACCCGGCCAGTTGCATATAATTTTACTTCTGATCTTCAATGTCAAATCAGTGATTTGTTAGCTTCTCAAGCCTTTTATCACTTATTAATTATATATGCTAATCTGGCACTAATAACCCCACTACTGCTGCAGCTGTATCTCCTCTTTTGAAAGCTATGGTATTTTAATCTTCTTTAAAATTTCTTCACACTTCCTTTGCTGCATTTGAAACATTATTTTGGGCACTCATTCTGCAAGTGTGGAATTCCGGTAAAACGATCACGTATTTCTCGTTCGTCTCTTCTGTTATGAACGGCCTAATAGTGGAAGAATTAGTAGCAGTCAGTGTGGAGCTGATTCATATCTAGCAGGACATGTCATATGGAAGCGTAAGTGCCTGACAGCCCCCCGAGTACATTGTGAGTTAGAGGCAGAGAATGGTATCAAATCCAGGGTTTGGCAAAAGTGTATAAACACATGCCTTGAATGCTTGCCACATTATAGCTGTAGTCCATAAGTGAATATTCAGTGTCAGCATTTCAACTAGAAATTGCATATGTTGAAAGCAGGAACGTCTTTATTTGGTATGAAGGTTTTACTTTAAATCTGACAAGTTTGGCTGTTTGACAATCTGTTTAAAGTGAAGCTATGGGTAGATTTTCAACTCATCAGGTATTAGATGGTAAGCAAGGCAAACACAAAATAAATCTTACGCTTGTCTGTTGAGGATGGGTTTATTCTGCAGCATTGTTACTTGGAATTAATCTGCTAGGACAAGCAGGGTGTGAAGCTTTGAAGACTTTTTTTTTTTTTTTTTAATTTCCCTCCTTCAGAAAGGTGGATTAAATGACTAAGATGTATCAGTAAATATGCACTTGTTTGATCAGAGTGAAAGGAAGGGGTCTTTGTAGAATCCCTGCTGTATGGCTAACATTGCAAGACTGCGGTTGCCTTTTTAAATCCGCATTTAATTAAAGAGAGTAGCATTAATGAAAACAGCCTCCAACTAGCAGGAATCTCCTGAAATGGATGAAGGTTTGGAGGACTCTTGAAACACAGCAAGCAACTACTGAATTTCTTGGCATCCCTCTCTTGGCTCTAACAACAAATGTCCCATTAAATTTTATTGTATTTGAATGATTTACATTACCACC